ATAAGCCCTAGCAGGATTTCTATGCATTTGTTAAATATAAGCCCTACCCCGATAATAAGACCTAGTGATGGGCATGGCTATCCAGCGTATCTGCATAGCCACGCCATGCATTTTGATGCTGCCAAGTAGTAAGGAAGACTGGAATACCTTTTATCTGCCACAGCTCCTTTCTTGGAGCCCTTCACACTTGCGCAGGTGCGTGCGGTAACCACAGTCACAGGCATCCTATTGCGCATGTGTGAACAGCTAGGGGAAAGGAGTTCACGCATTACTAGCACCAGCCCCACCAACAAGGTTGGCTCCCCCTGTCAGGTTCCAGAAGAAGATGACTTAACTGTATTTGAATAAATGTAGTTTGTTGTATTATACTTAATAAAAATAAGACATCCCCTGAAAATAAGCCATAGTGTCTTCTTGAGAAAAAATAAATATAAGACAGTGTCTTATCTTCGGGGAAACACGGTAGTATCCAATGTGGGTATCAAATTTATGTTTAAACACTATTTTGTAATATCCATTAAAATAGAGAATTTTAATTCAAACACTCTTTTCAACTTACCAATTCCTGTGATCTCTTTTTTGATCAGTTGTAACTCCATATGTTGTATTTTTATTCTTACTAATAGAAAGTAAATTTTTCCAACAATCACATCCTTTAAATGATACCTATTGGGAAAAAATATATCTTACTCAGTATCAGTTTAAACAAAAAGAGTAAAATATGCCCTGAAAGACTCTAAAGCTATTTTTAGTATAATTATTATTTAAGAATACTATTTTTGACTAGTCACATTGCTTCATGTCCTTTTTTCAAAAATGTACTTAATTTTCACTATAAGAACTGAAACCTGACTATTAGTATATCTCAGAGGGAATAGTCTGATTAATTGCCAGTCCTACTTAGATGTTAACTAAGATGTTAGTTTCTAGAGAACCTAAGTACTTACTGTAAAATTAAAATTTTCCATTAAGAAATACTTATTTGAGGCCTATAATAATACTTATTATTATAGGTTCATGCCTATAATCCTAGCACTGTAGGAGGATGAGGAGGTGGATTGCTTGAGCTCAGGAGTTCGAGACCAGCCTGAGCAAGAGTGAGATCATCTCTAAAAATAGCTAGGCACTGTGGCAGGTGCCTATAGTCCTAGCTACTCAGGAGGCTGAGGCAGGAGAATCACTTGAGCCCAAGAGTTTGAGGCTGCTATGAGCTAGGATGCCATGGCATTCTACCCAGGATGACAGTGACAGACTGTCTCAAAAATAATAAAAATACAGCTCGGTGCCTGTGGCTCAGGTGGCTAAGGCGCCAGCCACATATACCTAAGGTGATGGGTTTGAATCCAGCCTGGGCCCGCCAAAAACAACAATGACGGCTGCAACCAAAAAAAAAAAAATAGGCAGGCATTGTGGCGGCCGCCTGTGGTCCCAGCTACTTGGGAGGCTGAGGCAGGAGACTCGCTTGAGCCCAGGAGTTGGAGGTTGCTGTAAGCTGTGATGCCATGGCACTCTACCCAGGGGGATAGCTTGAGGCTCTGTCTCAAAAAATAATAATAATAATAAAAAGAAAAGAAATACTTATTTGGTATGAGAGTTTAGTTATTATTCTAAGTGAAAGATTTGTTCAGCTAACATAAATCATCTGGCTACAAAGAGAGATTAATAAGGCCTACAACCATAGGTGGAATTTGCTGTTATAATATCTAATAAACAAAGACTGTTCCCAGGTACCTTGAAATGATGTGGTAATAAACCAGGGAATCCCTACAATATCTAGAGGAACTTTTAGCCTTCTTCCAGGTTTGGATCTCAAAATAATACCCTAAGAGTTTATTTATTTATTTATTTTTGGGAGACAGAGTCTCACTATATCGCCCTGGGTAGAATGCCGTGGAGTCACAGCTCACAGCAACCTCCAACTCCTGGGCTTAGGCAAGTCTCTTGCCTCAGCCTCCCAAGTAGCTGGGTCTACAGGCACCCACCACAACACCTGGATATTTTTTTGTTGCAGTTTGGCCAGGGCTGGGTTTGAACCCACTACCCTCGGTATATAGGGCCAGCACCCTACCCACTGTGCCACAGGTGCTGCCCCTAAGAGTTTATTAACACAATTATGTTAGTCTAAAGAGAGGCTTCGGTGGCAAGTTTTAGGGCCCAACCTATCTGACAGTTTATCAACAATATAATTTTAAGACTCTGACGGCTTATGTATCACATATCCAGTGATGTAAACCTAGAAATGATAACTAATTTATTTATTTTTTTAAATTGAGACACAGTCTTACTTTGTCACCCTCCTTAGAGCACCGTGGCATCACAGCACATAGCAACTTCAAACCCTTGGGCTTAAGCGATTCTCTTGCCTCAGCCTCCCAAGAAGCTGCGACTATAGGCACCCACCACAACGCCCGGATATTTTTTGGTTGCAGTTGTCATTGTTGTTTAGTAGGCCCAGGCCAGACTCAAACCCGCCAGCCTTGGTATATGTGGCTAGCACCCTACTCACTGAGCTATGGGTGCCAAGCCAGAAGGGATAGGTAATTAAAAAATCATATAATGAAAGAACGTGTAGGAAGGGAATAATACAGGTACATCTATTTCTTCAACAAATAAAGTTTAGTGAAAAAATAAGGGGAAAACCTATTAATTGAAAGAGATTTAAGAGCCAAACAACCAAATACAATATGTAGACCTGTCTGGATACTGGTTTGAACAAATTGTGTGAAAAAACAAAAGTACTTGTGAGACAATTAGGGAAATGTGAACACTAAATATATGAAGATAGCAAGGAATTATTAATATTTTTAAATATAGCATTATAGTTATATTTAAAATTATACATAATTTTTTATTTTAAAAATTTTTTTATGAAGTCAGAATATAAGCTTGTCATAGAACATTCAAATAAAAGAGATCTACATAGTAAACACATAACTTGTCCTCCAAAGACAACCACTGTTATCAGCTTAATGTATGCTGATGTATATAACTATAGACTCTTTTCTATTTATACCAAAGTACATTATTTTGAAAAGATGGAATAGTACTGTACATGCTGTCTTTATGGCGAGCTTTTTCACTAAATAATACATCATGGATGCTCTTTTGGAGCAGTAAATATACATTTGTCTCTATCTTTTTTATTCTTCTTTAGTAGTCTATAGTATGGTCAGGTCATAATTTATTTAACCGTTCTACTGATGGGGATTTAAATGGCCTTCAATTTTTTTGTTCTTATAAATAGTATTTCTGAAAACATCTTCATCCATGTATGAAATGATACCTACACTCCCTATAGATTATATTGAAGCAAATTATGCATTAAATAAGTCTGGAATCTGCTCCAATATAACCTATAGGGAGTATAGAAGCTGAATACATATAAAGCAAATCTAACCATGTGTTGACAACTATCGAAGCTGGGTAATGTTTACATGGTGATTCATTATATTATTCAGTACACTGTTCAAAATTTTCTATAATTAAGTTTAAAAAGACATTAAACAATACATAAAATATAAGCTGATTTTATAAAAAATACCACATATATATACCTTCCCCCTCCCCCATGGAAAATATACAATAGTTTAAGTGATAAAGGTGAAAGTATGTGTTTTTTTGGTTTGAGACGGAGTCTCACTATGTCACCCTAGGTAGAACGCCATGGTGTCACAGCTCACAGCAACCTCCAACTCTTGGGCTTAAGAGATTCTCTTGCCTCAGCCTCCCAAGTAGCTGGGACTACAGGT